AACCTGTAGAACTAAACAGACAATATCCTGGAACGGCAGCCATAACGCAACAGATACTGTTCACTATCACAGCAAGGAAGTTTTAGTGCCAATGGAACAGTTTTTAAACAAAACTGCAAGCGACTACGTAGCCAAGGAAGCTCCTAACTCCTCAAGATGTGGCTGCTTTTAATCAACGGCCAAAGCCACGTGCAGGTTTTAAGCACTTGTTTCAACATCCTGAACAGGAGAGAACAAGAGCCGCCAGCCAGAAAAGTACTAAGCACTGCCTCAGGAAGCCTAGCTATCTTTGTAAATAAGGATTAGCTCCATTCTCTCTCTAAAGCCTTTTTAACCATTCTGACATGCAAAGCGACAGTACTCCTTAATGAGGTGATTTCATGAGGTGTTTAAATCCCTTTGTTTCATGAAACAGTGAGTGCTGGAGGCCACCAGCATCCCACACATTTCAAGGAACACTATTTTTCTGGCAGATATTCCATTAACTGATTACAGTTAATCATATAATCTATTGCAATAGATTAGTCTATTAGTTAGTCTATTATAAGAGATTACATACAAACTGTATAATTATACAGTTATTCTGTAGGAAAAAAAGAAAGCCCAAAGCCTTCAGTGACAAAGTGTAAGTATTTTTTCTGCTGTCTCTCTCAGAGACACGATCAATTATTAAATTTAATGTCTTTTCCAACCCATATCCAGTACTGGGAGTTAAGGTTTATAAACTGTTCTCATACCAAAATAAATCATTAGTTTAATTAGTAAGACAACTCCAATCAGCAGCCTGCCACTAATTTGTTTTGTACTCATCCAACTTCTTAAAAACCTCTGCATATAGCGTGGAGCCTGCACAGCAAGGAGATGCTGCCTATTGCCATTCAGGGCCTTCAACGCGTTAGCTCAACCTAAGGACGACACAAAGCCCTGAGAAGTTCTCTAGTGCCTCAACATTTATCTGCTGCCCTGGACCTACTGCTTTAGTGCTGACAAGGGATAGTTAAAGTTCCTAAATACAGTCTTGTTCTGGAGAAATAATGGTGAGAATCCCTTAAACAACAGCAAAACCCAAACAAAATGAAACAGAAAAAATGGGCAACTGTTCTAATTGCCCTGGAAAGGACTCCAAGCACTCACCCGTTTCCCTGCCCTACACCCACCCCACCACCTTCACCAGTTATTTAGCTTTGTCTCAAAATGAGGAAAACCAGAACCCCACCACAGCACATACTTCCCCAAATGGGAAGCATCACACTACAAAATAACGTGGGCAAAATTGCATGTTACAGGAAGGAGAAAATCCTGCAACGCTCAGGGCGTCTAATCTTAGCAGCTCAGTGGATCCAGAGCGCAGAACACACACTAGGCCTTGCCAGCTTCAAGACTGGGAACGACGGAAGTCTGCGGTCGTATGCCGCCCTGATGGGAGGAAACCACTGCAGCTATTCAGAACGTTGTTTGGTATTCTGCCCACGACAGGCTGGGGTAAAAAGGGACCGGGTGAAGCAGTGTGGCCCCAAAGGGTCAAAAGAAAACTGCATAATTATCAAGTACTGACATAAATTATTAAAGTTAAAAAAAACCCCAAACACCAATAAACCCCCCACTATTTTATATCTGCCTGTTTGATTCAATCAAAAATAAAAAGGTTTTCTTCCACAGTTCACAACAGCACTTCTGGGGAAGCCCATGTTAGAAACCGAAGAGGAATTCTTGAATTAGCCGGAGCCATTAGATGTACTACGGGACGATCTCCTTTTGCCTACCTACGTTACGGATGCTACTGTGGTCTGGGAGGAAGAGGATGGCCTAAGGACAGAGTAGACTGGTAACTATTTGCTTGAGTAATTAAGTGCTGAATGTATGCAGATGACAGAGCAGGAGTAAAATATGAATTCAGCCTATTTAACATCAGTGAGGGAACTGAATTTAAACACACCTCAGACTGCTAAGAAACCCTGAAGCATTAAAATTAAGCATCTATTTTTATTTAAAATGCTTAAGAGGACAAAAGTAATTCGAAACATTTTTGCACACTCATGAACATAGGCTGCACCAGGCAAAAGCACATTTCCTGTTTTTTTACCTGAAGTATTGCTGCAAAGGCACCAGGCAAAAGCAGCCACATTTCCTGGTTTTTTACCTGAAGTATTGCTGCAAAGACTCACTAGGGGTTTTTCTATTATTATTTCTATGCATGAAATGGTGTCTTGACCTACCTGAAGGTCAGTTCCACTGTTACATCTACAGGATCTTTACCTGGAGATTTGTGTGGAATTACCAAGTAATTATTTAATAAGCAGAAGAAAAAACAGTAATTGCAAGTGAGAGCTGACAGCATTAATGTTTTCTATTGCAAGCACAAATTCCTCGGGCAGTCTAAACACCACGTGCCTGCTGTAATATGGTGGGTTTAGGCTACCAGGAGGTGACTGAATGACTGAATGCAAAGAGCTTGTGGACACATCCTGTTCTTCAACTGAATCAAAAGAGTATAGTTAGTTCGCAGCAAAAACTTCCAGGCTATCTCATCACTGAATCAAAAAAGAAAGAGTATAGTTAGTTCACAGCAAAAACTTCCAGGCTATCTCATTTCAGGTTCTTGTTACCTCCCCTGCTTGTCATTCTGGGCTTGCAGTGACTCTAAACCAGAAGAATAACGCTTTTTTTATGCATTAAAATATGCCATTAATGCTCACCTGCACTGTTCTGTTCCACAATGTCATGGAAAGTCTATGAATTCATTATCTCAGTTAGAACAACTTTGAAATCATAATTTTAGGCAATATTCCAAATCTATGATAGTATGCTACAGCGCAACACATCTTCTTGTCCCTTCCCTGTTAGTAACTGTTACAATAGCACCAGTAAGTCATAGAAAAATACATCATTTATTGTCTAATCCACCCTTCTGGCATTTCATCTTTTTCTTGGAAGGGGCTAGGAGAGAGGCATGCCCATATAAAAGGTATTGTGTTTAAAACTGAGAAACTGAGAATGCTTTCAAGATTCCTTGTATTTTCAGCTATGAGGAAATTCCACTAAATCAATGTATATCAGACATTTTCCTCAGAATCATTTTTTCCAGGTGATCTATTAACCAATTACCCAGTTGTGATTCCTGAGCAGGTAACTGTTGGTACAATTGCCTGTGTTGACTGTTCTATTATTTCACAGCCTGTAGAAACATGCTGATAAACCCCATCCAGATTTCGTGACCTGCCCTGCTTCCCCAAACC